GAATAAGTATAATAGAGTACTTTTATTTAAAACTAATGGACTATAATAGAGTACTTCATTAAGAGTATGCCTGTTAAAAATGTTTTAATTTTGATATCCTAATCTCTACGAACCTGATGTCTTCCATCTTAGTTCTAGATATTTTGACATGTACGAGCCTTCAATGCTACTTACATACTCTAACTATATCGTATATAGGTCTATAGATAAAATCGCTCGAAAAATTAGTTTTGGCATGGAAAGTCTGATTCCTTTATCAAATTCAGCAATTGCGAGTTTTTCAAAATATTTATATCATTCTATATGAAACTGTCGTAAATAATTTTGATGTGTTCATGCACTTTTGAGCTTTGTGTAGTTAAGGGTGTTTAATGTTTGGTGTGCAAAAATATTTCTTTTTATACCCTAGCAGAGGGTATTATAATTTTGTCGTGAAATGTGTAACGCATAGAAGGAGACATCTCCGACCCCATAAAGTATATATTTTCTTGATCAGCATCAACAGCCGAGTCTATAAAGCCGTGACCGTCTGTCCGTCTGTCTGTTTCTATGCGAACTAGTCTCTCAGTCTTAAAGCTATTTTTTCTTTTGCACGCAGCACATATGTCAAAACCAGCTGGATCGGACCACTTTAGTATCATATAGCTGCCATAGGAACTATCGGTCGAAAATTAAGTCGTTGTATGAAAAACATTTTGTTTTTCAAGATATCATGACTAAACTCGGCATTTATTAGTTTTACTATACTCCTCATATATATGCAAAATCCTATTAAGATCGGACCACTATATCATTTAGCTGCCATAGGAACGATCTGTTGAAAACCAGGTTATTGAATTAAAACCTGTTTTGTTTATGAAGATTTCTTGACCAAACTCGGCATTTACTATTTTCCCGGTACTTCTTCGATACGGGCAAAGCACTATGAGCATTATGAAAAGGTTGGGCCTGCAAGGGTATTAGATCTTCGGTGTGCCGAAGATAGCCCTTTCTCTTTCTCGTTTAGTGCTAACTTAATTTTTTTTATTTTCCAAGCTCAAACTATTTATTAGAAAAATATTCCAAGCCAATATACTAATATAGTTATATGCTTTACCTTCTTCTTCTTCATTTATATTTCCAGGTGATTATTTGGGATCATTTGTACCCAATGGGTCCACATTAAAATTGATTACCAGCGACACCCTTAATTGGACTGCATTTTGTACGTAAGTGAGAAATGATTAGGCTTCCTCTTCTTCTTGAATGCTTCAAGTGATCTTTAAATATTTAACGCGTCTTTTTTTGTCGTGTTATTTGTTGCTGATTTGCTGGCAAATTTGTGGCCTTTGCGAATCAAAGTAGCGCGAAGCCCAACAAATTGGGCGTAATGACAAATTGGGTGCCAAAAAGCCAAGCCCAGGACTCGAGAGTCCATCAAAGATGCGCAGTTAAATAGTTTAAGGCACACGATCCGAACAAACAAAAAAGATGCAAACACAGAGGATGCAAACGCAATCTGCATATAAAAGACGGAAAGGGCGAAACCTTTTATAAGACCAAGCGAATAACGGTGGGTGGGGGAGAGGCGGGATGGGGTGGGTGGGTTACGTTTGGAACAGGTTACAGAGTTTGGAGCTGAGGCACTTTTGTGCATACAGTGAGGGCTCTCTTGAGTGGACATTAGAGCTGGAAAACAATCGATGGAACTATCAATTATATCGATGTATTTGTGGTTTTGAGAACTATCGATGATTTTTTGTTGTAACTATCGATGCTTTCCCAGCTCTAACAATTTTTGACAAGTAAAATAATTTTAATAAGAATAATTTTTTTTTGGAAATTAAAATATCTCTTAACTTCCAATCATCATCGGATGCTATTAATTCGAAAAACCAAACGAGCCGCAACACCTGAAGACATAAATTTTATTGGTAATGTTATTTATTTTTAGAGAAAATAATAATTTTGTTTCTTGTTAATGTAACTAATGTCTTCCATTATTTTTTCTTTATGAAAAATTCGCTACTATTGACGTTTTGCTTAAAAACACGAAAATATCCATTGTCTCGGATAACAATGTTTCTTCAGCTCTAGTGAACAGGCCATAAAAACAGCGAAAATGTTAAAAGGATGCATCCAATTCCGATTTCCGAACGGAATTTCCGCTAAAGTATAAGTTTCTTTTTACCGAAAAGTGGAGTCCACGTTCGCAGAGCCTTCACTGTACCACACTCTATTGGAGTTGGGTTCGAATGGCTTGTGCGAGTAATTGACGCTTGCATGCAAATTGAAAAGCAGTCCGGAACAGGAGAGGCCAGCAGGATCTGGACCCGGAGGAGTTGGAGCCAGCTGGGAACTGTGGATGGGGGTCTGATTGAGCGCCAGGTTGATGCATTTTAAAACAAATTGGCACAGTTTGTGAAAGTGGACAGTGTCGGAGGTGTTATTGTTGTTGTTGTGGCATGTTTTGTCACTCAATTAGATGCAACTCATTTAGTCGAAAAACACATTTGGCCATCATTTGTGTGTGCACAAAATGTTAATCAAAGCCTGATGGCTTTTTTAGGCCAACTAATCAGGCCGCCTGGCGTCGATTGTGGGAGTACGCGGTGGAAGGGGGGGTGGTCCGTCCAGCGTTCGCTCCAATTAAAATGCAAAATTTATGCATGGGAAAGTTCAAAAACAAACGAGCAACAACAAGAATGGGGAAAGGCAGGAAAAGGGGCAAAATGAAAATGCGAACGCGATAAAAAATCGATACAAATTAGCTGCGATATTGTTGTTGTTATTTTTTGTAGATTGACCAAAAACATGTGCTGCATATGTGGCATATACATTTTGTCATTTTTTATTGTTGTTAATTTAACACCCGTGCTATAAAATCTTCAATAAACTTGAAATTGAGTTAATATAGACAAGAACGAGTGGGCGACAATTAGATGCCCTGTACACAGCTCCATTTTCCAGTTTCCATAACATGCATTCCAAGGTGCATCTAATACACGCTTCCTATCATTCCTTACCAAAAATCTATTCTCAAATAACTTCCGTGTTTATAATTTGATTCATTTTCATGAGCTAGAAGCTGGCATTTAATTGAGCGCACATACCAAATTTGGTATTTATAACTCTTATATTCCTCGAGATATGCATGAAAAACCTATGCTGAGAATCGATATTTATCGATCTTGCGAAAATGGTCGTGAGTTAGAAGAAGAAGTTAGATGAACTTGTTTTGTGTGTTAGTCAAGAAACTATATTATAATTTTAAAGTCTTCAGCTCTGGCAGTCTCTGAGTTCGCTGGGCTCAAGCGGACAGACAGATATAGATTTATCTAAAATCTAAAATCGACTGTTCAGCAATATATATTTATATTTATGCCTTCGATCTGTTACATTCATTTGCAGCCCTGCAATATACCCCCTTCTTATCCAGTTTTAATAAGCTTATACGGATCACAGTTGATATTATCTGTATATACACTTCCAATGTATACCCCGCTTCTTTCCAGCCCACTCTCATTTTTGCTGTTAATGGGTTAAGCTTTGCGGCTTGCGGGGGTTGGTGGCTGTTGGGGGTTGCATGTTGCAATTAAATTAGTTCGGCCGGACGAAGGCGCAGGGTTTGTTTGGCATCTGCGTTTGATGGAAAAGTTGTTGCGACAGAATAATTGCAATTGCAAGTGCTGGTTGTATCTGTACCTTACGGATGCTGGGGCAGGCACAAATACACAGCGTGCTAGCCAAAAGTTTACCAAGATGATGATGATGAGTATATAGATAATGATGATGACCTGCGCAACAATAGTTTGCATCTCACAGCTCGCAGATACAAATGCTGAAGTTTTTCTGATTATACTCTGTGTAAAAGGTGAAAAGGGTATATTAGAGGGCCACTTATATATATCTATATCTATATCTAAATCTAAATCTATATCTATATCTATATCTATATCTATATCTATATCTATATCTATATCTATATCTATATCTATATCTATATCTATATCTATATCTATATCTATATCTATATCTATATCTATATCTATATCTATATCTATATCTATATCTATATCTATATCTATATCTATATCTATATCTATATCTATATCTATATCTATATCTATATCTATATCTATATCTATATCTATATCTATATCTATATCTATATCTATATCTATATCTATATCTATATCTATATCTATATCTATATCTATATCTATATCTATATCTATATCTACATCTACATCTACATCTACATCTACATCTATATCTATATCTATATCTCCTTCTATATATATGTCTATATATAGATATAAAGAGAGTGTTGCGCGGTCGGTTGCACTTCACGGCAAGGTTTTCACTGGTTTTGGTTGTAGTTGCTGTTGTTGTTGTTGGTCTGCCGCAATCAACTGCATTTCATGTTGCGGTTTCTTCTAACAACTTGGCCAAGCGGAGGCAAGTGTGTGTGCGTTTGTGTATCTAATCACATTAGCACGTGCGCATATCCTTTTGGCCCTGTGGCCGGGCAGCTCCCCAGGCTGTCATTGCCTGAGCTAAACTAAAAACATTTTGGGCGCTTTGTTTTTGCCTCATTTCGCTTTGTCGATTTTGATTATTTGTCTGTGGTTGCGTTCGCCTTTTGTTTTGCTGGCTTTTCGGCAACTATTTGGAACTCAAAAGTTGGGCGGCCCTCCACCCAAACGCACACTCACGTATGCCAATTGCGTTGCAGTTTCTTTCGTGTGGTTCAAAGTTTTCAACAAAGGAAGACAAATTTAAAAGTATTTTGTAGTTTGGGAAACGGCCGACAATTGGGCGCGCAATTTAAAATTTGCACGCGGTGTGTGTCTCGGCTAACCATGTGCATATCGATCTATCGATAGATTAGCAAAATAACAGGGCAATAACATCAGCTGTTACTGTACAGTGCTGACTGGCTGTTGATAACAGTTCAGTGCAGTGTTAGCTCTCGGCAGACCATATGATTTTTGCAGACATACAAATTGTGTCCAAAACTAAATTTTACGATAATGTGCAACAAACACCGCGAAATCAATTTTTAAGAAAATTATGTGAAAAAGCAGCCGTAGCAATTTTAGCACAAGTTGTCAAACCTAACAAGCGCGTGCATGATTGCACAAAATCTTGAAGTTGTGCTTATTTTAGTTGTGCCGTGTGTGGGCCTGCATAACAAACTGATAAAAAGAATCAGTAAAGTGCAACTACATATAAAAAGCGTGCTGCAAATTAGTGATTTTGTGTAATCAAATCAGTGTTAAATATAGTTAATAAGGCATATAATTGTAAACACAAGAGATCCAAACGTATAGAAGCTGGCGGCGCACCGCTGCAAGCTCTGCAGGGGTGCGGGGCAACCTGTGTTTGTTATCATTTCGTTGCGGCCGCAGTGAGCGATTGTGTTACCAGGATTTTGCACGGGTAAGTGGTGGGGTAGCCTTTGTTGATGAGCTCGCAAAGAACATTCTCATAGATGCCCGTTCATACATTAAACAATAAGAAACGTGGCAACGCGATTCTGCACACAATTTAACAGTGTTCGGCGCCCTTCTGGGCGTTGCCAATGTTTTGTTTCGAGAACTCTCTGGCCACACGGGAAAGATGCCCAGAACAGCCCAAAACTAAAAACAAACTATTTGTTTGAAATTTCCAAATAAACGCAAGACCCCGTTGCCCATATGGCACGCATCTCTAGCGCATCCCTCGGCCTTCAACCATGTGTGCAGTTAAACGAAACAATTGTTTTTGAATGCAAGCAGTGAATATTTATTCTTTATATTTTCAAGCAAACGGATAACTAAACAATTTACGCATTTATATTTTTTGGGTACGAGTATTTTTTCTACGCAATTAAAAGTTGTTTAAGCAAGCGTTTAAAGTTAATACATAATTTTTTGTAGTCATAGTACAGTGAAAGCTCTATTAACGAACACCTTTGGCTAAACAAACAAGTTTTTAAATACAATTAGTTCGTGATATTTTAAAATTCAAATGTTAATAATTTCAAAATAAAATTCTCGCTTATCGGGAATATTTTCAAAATGATTAAGAATACATTTTTAGAATTTCGAAAGTTTGTATGTTTTCAACATTTTGCTGGACATCTCTTTAAGGCGAACATCCTCTGTCCTTCCGCTCAAAGAGCTTTCACTGTTTATATATATAATTTCCTTGGCTTTTTACTCGCTCTTGACCGGCACATAGGTCAAAACGATGGTCGAGTGCGGTGCCACCTGGAGCTCGTTGAGATTGACCTTGGTCGACTGTGCCACCTTTGTGGCATTGGCATTGCCGTTGTTGTGGTTGTAGTTCTCACTCAAATATGAGACGGTCATCTTGTCGGGCAGCTTGTGGTCGGCGGTAAAGTTGCTTAAATGCGGCAAATCGGTGGGATTAAAGATGACAAAGAAACCGGGACTGCCAGACTTGATTCTGTAAATGGACCAGAGATTAGAAAAATATATGAGACAAAAAGGAAAAGAAATTGTTGACAGATCCAATTGAAATAAACTAGATCCAATTGGAAGAGTATTCATTAAAATATGCGAAAATGTCAAAGGTTCTTCATATACTAATTGGGTTCTAATTGGAGAGTGGTAATTATAATTCAAGGGGCAATAGTCTACTATAATTTCAGATAAGAAAAATATATGAGAAAAGGAAAAAAGAATTGTTGAAGGAAGCGAGACAATGTCAAATTTTAAAGGTTCTTTGCATACTAATTGGGTTTTAATTAGACAGGGATAATTATAATAAAGGAGAGGTGAAAGTCTTTACTATAAATTGAATAGAAAGTTCTTTCATATTGATTGCTGTCAATAATTAGAAAGGAAATAATAAAAAGATGAAAGAATCTCATATTTAATAGTTAATTATGCCTCAATACCTTTGCCTTTAAAATGTTAGCGTGAAAAGGGAAAAAGTTGGATTAGTTTAGATATATTAGATAGAGTCCGAGGGGTTTTGGTTGTCTTACCTGGAGTAGGCAATGAGCTGGTCGACCTCGAAGACCTGCAGCTCGCCGTGCATGTAGGAGGGCGAGAGGCGCAGCTGTTGGATTTGGCTGTAGGTCGGCTCACTGACATTTGCATACTCAATGGAGTCGACCGGCACAACGGGCACGCCGGGCAGCAGGGACATGAACAGGGCCAGCGCGGAGGGATGGGAGGATGTGTCCACGTAGACATCGGCAAAGTTCCACTGCAGCCAGCTGGTGTTGGCGGTGTCCATGAATGTTTGCTGCAGCTGTTGCTGCAACTTCTTGTTTGTCTTGGAGGAGCTGAGTGTGCGTATGAACTCGCCATACATGGGCAGATCAATACCCAGAGCGCCGCCAGCTTGGCTCAGCACGTAGGCCTCGGGCCGTATAATGTCCTCGGCCACCGAGAGGAATGCATCGTCTGAGACATTTTTCACCATGCCCAAATAGTCGTAGAGCACATCGCCTAATCCGCTCTGGAATGTGGTCTGGGTGTGCGTATAGAAGCCGTAGTCGACCATGTTGAGCTCCTTGGTGGTATGCGAGATCTCCTCGTCGGCCAGATTATCGTTGATCAGATAGAATTTGGTATTCTTCAGACGGAAGCCCTGCACACCAAGTCCAACCAGATGCTGAAGCACGCTGCCAAGTTCTTGTCGCACCACCGTCGAGTTCATCTTCAGATCATAGTTGCCTTCCTGGAACTGTGACAGCACATAGCTGCCCTCCAGTTGCGTCCAAGCGCTGCTGTTTCCGCCCACTTTCTTCCAGTTGTTTGGTGGCTCGCTGCCCGCGACCTTCACCCACACGAATGCGGCGCGCTGCTCTTCGTTAGCCAAGGCATCGCGCATTAGCTGGGAGCTGTTGCTCACATAGTTGGGCGTCAGATCGAGTATAATCTTTATGTCGCTGGGCTTGTAAAGATCCACGAGCTGCTTGATTTGTGCCTCCACATCGGGTTTCTTGACCTCGTACGTCTGCCCTGCAGGCAGCTCGTATATGGCACCCGAGGCAAATAGTTTTTGGGCGGCCTGAACATCCTCCGGCTTGAAATCGGCCACATGCCCAAATTTGGCGTGAAGTCCACGCTTGTACCAGGGCAGTGGCTGTGGTGCCGCACACTTGGGTGCTCCGATTATGATCAGTATGGCGCCCACAAGCATGCCCACCCAAATGAGCCAGAAGCTCACAAAGAATATCCAACGCAAACGCACCCAGAACGGATCGTTGGCGTACTTCAGCAGCTCCTCCTTGCTCATGCCAGTGAAGGACTGTGTAGATTTGGATTTTAATTGACTCTCCACCTCTCTCTCTGTCTCTCTCTCGCACTCACCTGCTTGCCGCCGTTGAGATTCCCGATATCTATCTTTGCATCGCCATTTTGATGATCGCCCTTGATAAATTTGACCTCGTCTCGACGCTCCGCTAGCTTTTCATCGGCTTCGCCGGTGCCCAACATTTCCTCATCGGCGCCATCGGCTACAAAACTCTCCTCTTTTACCATCTCGACTGCTAAAGCTGCTGATTAAAGCAAATAACGGAAATTGCCATTCATTAGCATCAATTGAATTTGTCTCTGTGTGCGTGTGTGTGTATGCGAGCGAGTTTTTTTTTCCTAGCAGATCAGTGTTGCCAGTACCGCCTACTTCCAGTCGAATCCGATTTTGGCTGCAATTGCAGCTTTTTTACCGCTTATTCTTAACATAAAATTCAGCGAGAAGTCGCTTTTTTCTTTGTTACTCAAAAGTTGGCATCTCTGGCCTGTAAGATCGACGCGTGCATTTTTTCGCATTCGAGGTTAGGTCATTTTACAAACACGTACACGATAATGAAATTTTACGCGAATTCCGAGCATATTTTTAAAGTTCTATAATTCCGTTTTGTACGTCGCTGCTGCTGGTACTAACATTTTTCCCTTTACGTCGAGCGACGCGTTGCTGACGTCACTCGCTTCATATTTCTTCGTTTTGAGCTGTGCTTTTTTTTTATTAATGGAAAATCAATACATGCAACACATTTCCTTTATCTAGGCGCATTCTTGATACGGCCACAGACACACAGCACAGGCTTTCACACATCTACATATCCACCCACACACACACACATACACCCCATCCACATTTTTCGCATTTAATGCAGACATCTGTGGCTTCTGTTACATCAGCCAATGGGCGTGTATACTTGCTCTAGACAATGGCTTCAAATTTCATACATACCTTCTTGATTGTTTTTGTTATGTGCTGGCAATCTTTCTTCTGCAATTACTTTGTAAACCTCCGTAGACTCGGCTGCTGCTTCTTGGTTTTGTGCGACAACTGTGCGAGTTAATTGCAAAAAAAGTTTCTATGAGTATGGCCTGTTGAAAATGTTAGGTAACATAACAGAAACTTAACATTAACAGTAGCTGTACTGTTACTGACAATGAGCATGCAGTTAACTTGCGCTGTTAAGTTTGATACAAATTTATAGACAGTGCTGCAAATTAAATTAAAAATGATTCAAGCAAATACTTTGATTACTTACCAGCGACTGTAACGGGCAGTGTGACCGAACTCTGCAACACAAATTTTGTTTAATTATTGAAACATATGCTGTTAGTTGGAGGAGTTCTGTTATGAGCGGAGCAAGTCTGTTAAGTGGCCCTTGCCATTAGGCGGCGTACAGTGTGGCAACACCAACAGAGAGCGCGACAATTTTAAAAGTTGTAACATAATATAAGTAATATATATCGCCACGTGGCTCACCTTGTTAGGACTTCCAATGTGTTTAAGGCGCGAAAACAAATTCATTTTGAAGCAGGTATTACAAATAATATATTTTTATATAAACTATGTGTTTAACAGCAACTGAAAAGATTGGTGTTTCACTTCTCAAATTGTATGTAGAATAATTTTTTAAAATTTATTTGATATCAAGTTGAAGTCCAGATATGTATTAAACCTTTGGATAGCGTATTTTATGTGTTCAGCTGATTTTACTTATTTCACTTGCTTTAAACAAATCGGCACTATTTTTATTATAGTTTGCGTTTCTTTCCGCCTTCACTGACTGTCCGAAAGCGGGTCTCAATCAAAACTGAAACTGCATCTGCGACCGAGTCTCAAACAACTCTCGATTCGAATCAACTACGTTGTCAATAATGTGGCTGTTGCTGCTGTTGCTGCCGTTGCAGCAGTCGCATTTGATTTAATAATATCCCCACATCCACACACAAAGGCAGGCGCACGCTTAAATTACAATTTATGCGCCTGCGGCAGTTGCCGGCCACAAACTACCTGGTCCCAATAAAGCGAACTGGAGCCGCGTCGCGTCGCAACGCATCTTACCTGAGAGTGTGCGAATCGCCAAAGTTGTTGACCGCTTGGCTGCCGACTGTCTATACCCTTGCAATGGGTACTATGATTTTGATAATGGATTTGTTTAACGCATTGAATGGGCAGCTTCAAACTCGTAAAGCATAAATCCTCCTCTCATTTTCCCTCGATCTCTCTTTCTCTCTCACTCTCTATATGTACATATAAATGGTGAAATATATATATGTACCGTACAAATTGAACAGAATTCTCTAAGAATAATAATAAATTAAATAAACAAATACAAAAATAAAATATTTTTTTTAATGAATTTGAACCGGCAACTTTCCAGTTGCTAGTCCGGCGCACGGACACTTAAAAGGAAACTTAGGCAATAATCTGAGCTTCCCAAATTCATCAATTAGTATAAAATGATGATGATCTTGAGTTTCTATAATCATTTTTGTTCAGGCTCAAGCTGTATTAATAAAGAACTCGCAGAAATAAATCGAATATGCCCGCAAGGGTATTCACTAGTCAACAGTAAAAAAAAAACATTGCTTTCTTCTTTTGTTTGCTTTACTGAGCTGGGCTGGGCCCGGAATGTGCACAAAAACTGCACTCGTTGGCGCATTCCATGACCAAAAAGAGAAGCAACTAAATTTTAGAGTTTGATGCTTTCAAGTTCGAACTGGTGGGTTCTTAACGTTGACCTTTTAACATGGTCAAAAACTGTGCCGTCAACGTGCTAGAAAATATTCAGCTCAAACTTCAATTTAAAGTACGCAAATTGATCAATTTGATGGCATTTTGTGACATGCAAAGCCCATTGAAATTAATCCCATTAAAACAAAGCGGCGGCTGGGGCCTATAAATTGCGCTGTCAAGTCTGATAGATCGCAAGTTCAATGGCAATCCATATGGGACGTCAGTTGCTCCTTGCAGCGCTCCTCCTGCTGGTGCAGCTGTGCATTAGCCCGATCGAGGCCCGGCCAAAGGTAATATAAACCAGAGCAGCTCTTAATTAAAATAAAACCATTTGAACTTAGGAGCCCAGGCCTGAGAATTCTGGCGATGGCGTGAACAAGGTTCAAGGCGATGGCGATGACGACGATGATTCCTCCTCGGAGGAAACCGTTGAGGATTCGGATGAGAGCCGCGGACGACGACGACGTCGCGATGCTAGCCCGATGACTGAACGTGCTGGCATCCCGGGCCTGCCCGATCCCGCAACAATCATTAAGTTAGCGCAACTCTTTCAATCGGTGGGCGAACAGATTGTGCCAATTCTGCTAGAAGCCGTCCTGCCCTCCAGCGATCCGGCTGGCGAACGCCGGGCCAGGGACTTGCAGCTGCTGAAGAACTTTAAGCGCACTCTAGAAGTCTATTCCGATGAGTTGCAACCGCACGCTATGTAATTCGATTCAATCTAAAACCATAGTTGAGCGGCAATAAATTTGTCAACTGTTTAATTTGAAAATAAGAAAAGTCGTTGGTTCGAGTCCACTTTACAGTTACCCAGTTTTGTGGTTCGAATTCTGTTTCGTCACACGGACTCGCATTTGAAAGGAAGACATTAATTATTTGTAACAAGTTGTCTCTTCTATAAGCAATTTGTATATTTGAGAAATGAAACTGAATTTTCGGGCTCGCACCGGCTTAAATGTCGCTCGTGTATATGAAAAGGCTGTGGAAATCCTTCAGTTTCTGGCAACTGCGTTCGACCTTATCTAAAACGTAGTCGAGAAGCAAATCAATCGTAGTCGGTAGATTGGTGCTGCAATACAGATTGCCGGCTACAATGGTGGGCACGAGGGGCTGCATTTCGGTCACATTGCATACCGAGTCCAGGCGTTCTGTAATAGCCTTCACAATGCTCTTAATCACCTCAAAATCCAAAAAGTTCCACTTGAAAATCGTCTCACAATATTTGAAAAACGGTGGAATTTCCGTTATCGCTGGAGTTGTCGGAGGGGGAGTTGTCCCTTTTGTGGCTTTCGGCTTATTGCCCTTGCCCTTGCCCCTGCCCTTAACCTTAGTCATAGACTTGCCCTCTCCCAGGAATTGGAGCAGCAGCATACACAGCAACAAAACTATTATGACACGCTGCCAAATATTGGAAGGAAGAGCTCCATTAGGGAACATTTTTAACTAGCTGCTTATGTTCAACTTACCATCTTGCTAGAGACCCGAATGTATTATGCAGCTATGGCTGAAATGATAGACATAGAAATAAACATTTTCTTAAACCATGTTCAATATAATTAAATGCTAATTTGTTACGCTGATTAGTTGAAGGTCTTCAAGTTCTGAAAATTTGTTCGTTTCTTTTTATTTGCTTGGTGAAATTCGCAGAAATATTTTCAAAAATAAAATTAGTCGAATTTTCGTTACAATTTCTGTGCAAACTGTTTTCTTTTTTCCAGTTTCGGGTACTTTCAACAAGTGGTCAAGTTTTATTTCGCTGATTTTAAGCAAATTGAAATATTAATATAAATTATGCCTGAAAGTATGCAACAGTAACAACTGTTATAATTACTGTGCTTAAAAATGTACCCCAATTGTGTATATGGCGTTGCACTTTGGTTGTGCTGGTTTTTAACAACAGAGGGCGCTGCCACAGTTGTCATTGTTTTTACGCACTAAACCCATTTAAAGGGGGTTGTGCAGGCAGAAGGAAGCATTTTCGGTATATATATACATATATCTATTCTTGATCAGTACGAGTCCTTCGTCCATCTGTTTTAACCCGTCGAGCTAGGAAACTACAAGAGCAGAAGCCTTTAATTTTTAGATAAATAATTGCATATAACATGCGCAGAACATTTTTTTTATAAATATATGTATATATATTATTAAAAAGTTTACTAACTAATATTGGCAGCTTAAGCTAGTTATTTATGGGGAAAATAAATTCAACGAGAATTACTGTTAATTAGCCTAAGGTGTACAATGTTAAGGCTATAAATTGAACAGTTTTTAATTCTGCTGATGATATCAATGACTTTTGTCTTCGAGAATCCTATCAGGTACATCCTGTGGATGGCACCGTTTGAGTCTTCGCTTTGTAGCCCTAAAGAGAGAAGCCCCAGAAATGGGGCACCTAATTATTGTTCTTCCAGGGGAAGCAATGAACCTTGCCAGCGGGTTGGGATGGGAGCCAAGACATTTAAAGTATCATCATTTGGAATGTTGACAGATAACGTCGCCTAATTTGGGAACTCCTAGGTCTCTATCGATGTCCCTAGTACGAATATAACGAGGAGCATTATATATGCTTCTAAGACTCTTACGTTGTGTGACTTTTTTTTTTGTTGATCCCGGCAATTCAGAACAATTTTATCGTTTGCCATTTTTATATCCTGAACCCTTTGAAAATGGGTAAAAAGGGTATATTGTATTTGTGCAAAATTCAAATGTATGTAACAGGCAGAAGGAAGCATCTCCGACCCCATAAAGTATATATATTCTTGATCAGCATCAATAGCCGAGTCGATCTAGCCATGTCCGTCTGTCCGTCCGCCCCGTTGGTAAATAATAAGAGCTAGAGTCACCAAACTTGACATATAGCTTCTAAAATAGAATATATATATTCATTTGATGTTGGAAGAAGAGGGTTCAGGGTATCCCCTAGTCGGGAGCTCCCGACTAGAACCTCTTACTTGTTTAAAGTTATCTTTATTACTTGAAACGAGCTCGTAGCGTGTGCTGCATTTGGTGTAAGAAGAAGAGGGTTCAGGGTATCCCCTAGTCGGGAACTCCCTAAAAACCTAGAACCCTAGTTCATCAGGCTTTTATAGAAAATCGGCAGTTCGGGGCTGCACTTGGGGTATCTCCTGGCAATCGAATCCTCTTCAATTAATATTCTATATCTGTTTGTACAACTGAGAATGTACGAAGTCTGACCTATTAATAGATTCCTAATCGGGGCAATTTTATAGCTCTGAGCAACTTAACTTTTGCCCTGCCCACTTTGCTATTTCTATTTATTGCACTGGCGCCTTTTACGTGGGCTGCTTGTGTCTCGTGTGCAATAAGATATCTTCTGCTGCTGCTGCTGCTGTGGCAGCCAACAAGCTGACAGCTTGCAACTGACAACTTGCAACTGGCGGCAACAACAACAACAACAAAAACAGAGACTCGGTCTTAAGTGAATTGCTGTGTTGACAAAGTAAAGAGAGGCAAAGTAAAAGTTAATATGCTGTGCGCTGTGTGGCGGGGCACTCAAGTATTTAAACATTTGCCCGCTTGTAATTTGAGCTGGATACTTGAGCATTACGAGTATCTATTCGTATTGCAGCTAGGATGCGAACGCAAGGCACATCCTGTCGCAGGCGAGCCCCGCTCGAATCTGGCTATTTGTATCTTTAAGATACTTTTGCTGTTCCATTGCCGAGTCTCGTCTTTTATTTGTTGAGCAAAACAATTTCGTGACTTTGTTGTTTATTTTCCGCTTTTTCTTTCACATTTCGTTTGGCCCGCCGCTCGACATACATAATGCATGTGCTCGGCCTCACATCACCTTACTTCACCTGAACTGAGCAACTTGTGAATGCAGTTCGCTTAAAATGGCTAAGCAAATATGCTGGAAAAACTCTTCAGTCGTGCTTTGGGTCGGCTTAGCTGAGTTCAATACTAATTTGTGTTCAACACTTTGCTTCTTGGAGTGCCAACTGGCGGCGGAACTGCCTTCCTTGTCGCTCGTTTGGCTCCAACCCGCTTAAGATAGCACAGAGATCGCATCATCGACAAGGGCAAATACACAAAACACAAGCTGAACATGAGAGGAGAAATAATAAGACAACAACAAAAAGCAAGACTGATGTGCCCGACTAGCTTATACCCTCGACGACAGATACTTCATTTGCTTCACTTTTCTCCCCCTTTTCCACAATAAGCAAAACTCATTCGAACGTAACTTCTGTGCTAATTCTTTATTTCTATGCAAATGTTCAGGGCTTAAAGATGTCATTAATATGTGCGTATTCTAGCTCTGAAACTCTTAGAGATATGCTCGAAAAACCTAGACAAAAATTGATATATATCGATTTCGGATAAGCAAGTTTATGAACTTGACTTTTGTGTTATGCACAATGGGAGCTTATCAGCTCATGGACGACTTGTCTGTCAAGAATACTTTATGACCCCGGCCATGTCTCATTCTGACTGATACCGCACTATATCCCTTCCAAGCCTATTTTTAGTGGGCATCTAAAAAACAGCAAGTAAAAAGACTTCGCACCAATGCTCTCGAGTGTTTTCTTTCTAAACAGAAAACTTAATGATGTTGATTTAGTAGAACAGTCAACTGCTGTCCCGCTGCCCGGCTGCCCCTTGCTCTGCCTTGCCTATTTCCACTTTGCGGGTCCTCAGACACACATTTTCATAATATATATGGCACAATATGTTTCACTCGCTGCGTTCAACACTTTGAAAGTTTTTCCCTCACCCTGCTGCACAGACCCAGCTCCAGAGAGACGCAGCGCCATTCCCGCGCTGGCTCGTCAGTCAACATGATTTGCAAGTTATACAAATTCATTCAGCCGACGAGGAAGACCAACAGCAAGACCCAGACCAAGACCAAGACCCAGAGACCGCGACCACGACCACGACTTGGCCCAGGTTCTGGCCCGCATGTCTGCTTCATTAACACGTCTTTAGAGTTCTGGCTACGCTTCTTATGCCCGAATGCTCTATAAAAGCCGGCTGTCTTAGTTATGTGAACGTTTAAGAGACATGTTTATATTTTATGCTGCTTGGCAGAACCTGGTAAAACCTGGTCCATACGCAGATGATATCGAACCCCATTAAAGACAATATTTGTTTATATTTAAACACAAATATAATTTTTGTGTAACTGAGTCGAGATAAGGTTAATTACTCCAGTATTCTAAAGCTCAATTGGCTTTTGAAAGTTTTCGTTTGAAAATCTCTTCTTTACTTATTTCTCAACATTATCTGGACATGGATCAGATTTATGGGCTAGCATATTTTATATGCAAATCAATTGCAGAGCATTCAATGGTCGTTCACACGTTTGCCTCCTCACTTTTACATTATCTTGTGAATTTTACAGAGTTAAGGTGTAAATTGCTTTGCCGTTTTCAGAGTATTGTTAGAGTGTTTGGCAGCATTTGCCCTGTTTGTCTGTCAACCGCAACCACAATTAGTTGGGCCGCACTAAAATATGATTAGGAGTCGTTGCAGAACTTTGTCTGCAGCACGAAAATAAAATACCCAGCCAAAGCAATTGATGTGCGGGCACACGAAATTCCTTTGGGGCCCGGGGCCAGAGACAAACTGCGTTAATTAGATTGCCGACAGTCCTGAAAAGATATCAGCCAGAAGGCGTTGGCTATAAAAAATTGATGCAATGCGTGAGATAATGCAGCGCTAGAACTTGGGTGGAAAACCGGGTTCAATCCACAGCTGTCGAGGCCGATTGTAATGCAAAATGCCAAGCAATATTAGAAAGGAAGCGAGTGGAAGGAAAACCTGCCAAATGAGTGAACCTATTCAGAGAGAGAGGAGGAGGAAGCGAGTGAGAGGGCAGACCTGGTAGAAGGAACAAATTTAGAAACTACTAAGGCTGGGAATTGCCTTCAGGCCGACAGGCACGTCCTTCACCCAGCGATGTCAGCGGCTTGAAAATAATTTGCGCTTGAATGGCAAACAACAGCCCAGTTTTCCAACTTCCCCTCCCGCGTCATGCCGCAGCCCAACTTGGCTGCAACCCCTAAAGAAATTCCATCAGCTGCATTTTGCAGTTTAAAAAGCTTTTTGTGTGCCAGGAAGTTTGCTACCTTTTGTTGACTGGCAACCAGAGACGGAGCCAGCCAGAGGGGCAGCAAGTGCAACTGACATTAGTCGTGCAATAAGTAGACAGCCCTCAGTGACACATGCTTCCATGTGGTAGCAGCCACAGCCACAGCCAGGCCAAGCCAAGCAAAGCCCCAGTCTCGGTCCCAGTGACAGGCCAAGACAAGCCTCACAGACCAAGAGCAAGATCCTACACCTAGTAGTCCGTGCCTGTCTGCATTTTGCTGCTAAACTTTTTGCTTGCCATGCCAGACACGTTGACAAAAGACGAAAACAACAACAACAACTACAAGAACAACATTTCCAGCAACATAGACATAGACGAATTTATGCTAATCAGTTGGGATGCCTGCTCGGAGCACGAGGGTCGCTTTGTAACACTCCAAACTTGAATATTTAATTTGAGTATTTCTTGTGAAATTTGAAATCCTTGTAAACTCCGGATTTCTTTGTAAAATAACTATGTGATCCTAGTGATATAGGAAAAATACAACAGTCACTCGAAGATTAAATACCCTGCGAGGGTTTCGTCAAGAAGTTGGCAATGAATATGATTTGGTGGTCAATATTCGAGAACACCTGCCCAGCTTAGTTACGATATCTTGAGAATGAGCAAATTGCTTAAGGTCAATAGTTGGCCTAGGTCTATCAGATATGTTCTTTCTAGAACTCTTCTTAGTAAAGTTTGATAATATGGTAGTGATAATATGGTCGTGCGATTCTGTGGACTTAGACAGAGGCCGGCTTTTTGCTTAGTTTGATCAGGATAGCTTCACAATTTAGAGGCTTAAGAAACAGACAGTCTAATCAAGAAAATGTATTCTTTATAGGATGTGTGCTGTCGCCTTTAATGCAAATTTGTTATAATTTGTTCCATAACAAGAGGTTGCCCGGCGTTGCTGGGGTATGTTTTTGACTAGATTGCGTTCAATGCAGCAAAAAAAGTTTTAATTATCGCATTATATTATTGTTTATTCGAATGTGGGTTACTGTCCAATTTGATTGCTGATGTAGCCTTCTGCTCGCTGGCAAATTATAATGAGGCCTATCAGGGATTTGGGCTAGACGTGTGCGTGTCTGTGTGTGTCCTGGCAAATGGGGAGTGGAGGAATATTTAGTTGCCTGGCAGCATTGGATGGAATCCTCTCAGTGCGCACACTTCACGCACCAATTAAGTTCAATTTTCGATAGAATAGGAAAAACGCGATGAGCATATTTAGAGATAGAATTGGGACTGGGACTGTGATCCAGTGAGGGACTGCCTCGCATTGGAATTGACATCATTTGCCGTTAAAGAGCCAGAAATTGCGACGAGGGTTGCGCTTACATTTACGTGAACGTGTGTGCGACGAGTCGGATGCGAATTGGTATCGGATTCAAGACTGAAACTGGGTACGGGCTCTTCTCCGGCATGGGCATGGGAAATGGGCTTAAGTGCCAGCAGTCGGCATTATAAGCACATTAAATTCTAAAGGCGCAGTCGAAGCATGTCTGAAATGCTGAAAGAGTCGGCTGCTTGGCGCGACGCAAGTGCTTTTTATTATGCGATATTTGAAATTTGCGCATGTACTCTCGTATTATTATTGAATATCATTACCAAAATCGCAACAACAGCAGCAGCTGTCCCCCCCGAACGTGAGGGTGACTCAAAACAACTGAAAACAACTAACTGGGGGTCGCATTATGAAGTGCTTGCTGTACTCTCTCAACAACTCCAAAGTCAAAGTCAACAGAAAAATTTAATAAAGAAGAAGAAAAACGGCTACTTATCCATAAAAAAGTCGAAGTGTGCATACCCTTAATGGGAGCTGAAAATAAAATGATCAAATGGTGAATGCACAAGTTCTAAGGACTTTCGTTTTATAGACTAAAATCCATCTTGGGATTTGATTTCTAAGCATTACTCGAAGATTTTGAGACATACTCTATATATCTAGTATAAATTGGTTTACTTTATTAATAACTCCTTTTCCTATATAATTTATTTTCCTAAATACTATCGTAAATTAAGATTATTTTAAATTTTTAATCAACACCTATTCTGGGGAATACACTAAGTCTATAGACTTACATAATATGGACACAATGATTTTCTAAACCAATGTGCTTCTACTTGGTGTTGGCTTTCGCTTAGCATATACAAATTGGGAATATTTCGCTTTTTGTTTACAAATACTAATTACTTCTATCTACTTAACAGTCTATATATCTAGTATAATAAATTTCGTTACTAATAACTTAATAAATCCTTTTTTTATTTTTTCCTATTGTATATTCTTAAATAATATAGTAAATTAGGATTATATTTAATTTTTACTTAAGAAGACCATTTTCTCTACTAACACCTCCCTTCGTAGCTGGAGGCTCTAATAAAATCAGTGACAAAATTAGATGTGACAAGGGGGATTACGGGCCGGACGGGAAAATAAAACATCTTCATCGGTCGGTGATGCTTTTACAAAATTGTGTATTCTAATTAGGCTTCGATGTATTAAATAATTATGAAGACACTCGTTTTTGTCGAGCATTAATAAATAAATACTTACTTTAAGGCTGACACCTTGCGCTTTTTTATAAACATGATTTCTTTAAGATCGGACTATAAGCACCGAAGCTATTTGTTCACGACAGCATATTCCGTAGAGTGTGTCTGAGGTAGGAAGGTGCGCAGCCGCGGAAAATTGACTTCACTATGGCAAATGGTATGACAAAAGTAAAGTACCTTCATGTAGGGTATACACACTGAACTTAACTCAACTGGGCACATAATCAGCGCCCCCAAAGCCCGCAATTTCGCTGCGTTTAGTGGTTTAATTTTTATGTTGCAATTTTTATGGCATTTCGTCGAGAGACCGACCAAAGACGAAGACTTCTGTCCCCATATGCCTTTTGGGAGGTGCCCCCAGTGGTTGCTGCTGGTGCCTGGTAGCTGATGATGGTTGCTTTTTAAGTGCGCCGTGGCACAATGTGGTTTTCTTTTAATTTTTTTTGTTGTTGTTGTTTTTTATGGCCTTCTTCTGGGGCTACGTTTTATGTTTCATCTTTTGAGTGCGCGTCGTTTGTTGTTTGCTTTCGAGTTTTTGAGTCTTAAGCAGCTTCTTTTTGCTTTATACTCGAAATACGTAAGTACTTGTGCCTTTGTCATTTGTCTGTACATTTGACTTAATTGCTACATTTTGCATATTTACTAGAAAACATTTTGTGTTGGCTCATTAAAGGGCACGCACAAGGCCTGGATTCCAGTAAACACTCACAGAAAAATGCACTTCCTAATTCCATTGGAAGGGAATCGAATCGCATTCATGCCGTGCCTTTTGTGTACCACTCTACATAGAACTTAGTCTATATACACACGATAGGAAGGAAGACGGAAAGCAGATTAAGTGATTAGTTTTTCTTTTTATTTTCAAGCAAATTTGTATTATGTTAACAAAATAGTTTGGGTATTGGTTATCAATCTTGAAAATGTTAAGGTGTTTCGGGTCTTAAACCAAAAATGTGCTCGGATTAAGAAATTTCGATTTGGGCCGGATTGTGGCAAAATTTGTACTTTATTTTAATTCCAATTAATAAAACAGTTCGCTCGAACTTACGACTAGGAAAAGGATACTATAAAAACTTGACGCTAGAAATCAATCCAGCTTGTTCTTCTTTGGTAGAATGTAGTTGTGCACATAGAAATTGCTGAACAAGATGAACATGAGCGTGCCCATAAACAAAACCAGGGCAACTGGGTAGGGGGAGAGATTGCAGCTGGTCTGTTTCAAGGTCCAAATGCTGTGCGCTATCACAATCAGGAATTGAAGCATCTGTATGATGGTGATGTACTGCTTCCACCAGGGGCTCTGCTTCACAGCCTGGCTCTGGGACGATATGTAATAGTAGATGTACATCACGCAATGCACAAACACATTCAGATAGCCCGTCAGCACAAAATGTCCACCATAGCCATAGAATCGCAGTCCACTGTAGACGGCCAGTACCATGGCCGCGTGGTGCACGACATGTAGCACCGAGACCTGCCTGTAGTTCTTGCGTAGAACTATGAACACGGTGTCCAGCAGGTCGAGTATCTTGTTGAGAAAGTACGCATAGGTCAGGACGTGCTCCACCGTCTTGAAGGGATTATCCTGTGGCAGCACCATTATGCATTTGATGTCATAGGGTCTTATGACAACAAATGCGAATGTAGCCTGCGTTAGGGTACATCAAAAGATTAGAATTCGCTTAGAGTCGATCGGGCTGGCGGCCACTTACCAGCAGGAACAAAGAGCCATTGTAGACGATTTGTATTAAATTGTAAACCTTTAGTACGCCTCGAAGATCGTAGGGTGCTCGGTTGGCCATGAAAAGGCGCCCCAGCTTGAGCACAAAGAGCAGATAGCCAGTCACTATGAGAGTGACTGGCCAGGGGCTAAAGGTTAGTGGCAGCTGGACGGGATCTGCAGGCGGCCTATTGAAAATCTCAAACATATCGATAGTTATTTGTACTTTTTGCCACCTCCCGAATTTGCGGTTGCTCGATGTAAAAGTTGTGCTACGACTAGTTTTAAATTTATTTAATTTGTTCTTTATATTCCATTTAGTTGCCAAATAGAATTCGGAGACTTGGTGCACATTGTACGTACGCTTAATTTATTGGGCACCCTCGAATCCTACTGAATAATTCCCCTAACGTGAATATTTGCCTTTAATTATGCGCCCTATTCGTGGGTTTTACATACAAGGCCTACGTATACATATGTTAAGTTCAACAATGCAGCTTAGTTACAATTGAATTTTATTTACAGTTTAAGTTCAAGTTGAGCCTAAAGTTGTCTTCCGGGTGCCAAAGATTGAATACCCTTTTTTCACACAAATACTCGAAATATTATGGAGTTTCTTGGTGATGTAATACGATGTTTAGAATCTACATACATAGCTCTGCCTGCTACAGCGAGAAGACAATTTTTGGCAAAGATTTATCAAATATATCCATCTATATTTTATGAGAACTATAAAGATATATAGAATATCTTTCACATGAAATGTCTTCAAAAGCTTTTTGTATGTATACATATATATATACATATATATGGAATTTCTTAGTCAAATACAAAACATTGAATTTTAATCTCTTTACCAAGTGATTGATTGGTTTTGACAAAGCCTAAGTATTTAAAATAGCCCGCGTCTTGTTCATTCGATTAAGCTCAGAATTCAGTTACGTTTATTGAAAAGCTACGAGTTAAAATTAAATTAAGCTTAGCTGTGCCCGAACACCAGCTCTAAGCCCTGAGAAACAGAAACATGATTTAATTGAGTATTATTAAAAAAAACATTAGTTTTATCATTCACCACTAGTCATTGAGCTGCTTCTTCTTCGTCTTGGCCAGTATGTAGGCGTGTGTGTAGAAGTTGGCAAACATCAAAAACAGGGCAGTCGCCGCGAAAAGTGACATATAGGTAAGTTCCTTAGGTACCTCACATTTTGGCTGCATTTGGGTCCAAATGGTGTGCGCAAATACAATCACGAACTGAAGCATCTGCAATAAGGTTATATACTCCTTCCACCAGAATCTCCTCCTTGCAGGCGGTATCTGTGATGAGATGTAATAGTAACTATACATCACAACGTGCACGAAGAGATTCAGTACACCCGCGACTATGAGGTGGCCACCATAGCCGCTGAACCGAATCACACAGTAGCCCGTGATGGGCATATACATATGATGCAGCAGATGCAGAGTCGAGATCTGTTTATAGCTCTTTCGCAACACTATGAAAATGGTGTCCAGCAAATCGAAGTACTTGTTGATGTAGTACGCATAGGACAAGACGCGCTCCACTGTCTTAAAGGGACTGTCCTGTGGCAGCACCGTTATACAATTCAGGTCATAGGGTCTTACCACAAAGATAACGTATATAGCCTACATTAATGGAAGTAGTAGTATGAAAATTAAAATCAGTTCAAATCGATCGAGCAGTCCACTTACCAGCATGAACAGAGTGCCATTGTACACGATTTGCAACAAATTGTAGACCCTGAGTACGGTTCGAAGATCGTAGGGTGCTCGGTTGGCCATGAAAAGGCGCCCCAGCTTGAGCACAAAGAGCAGATAGCCAGTCACTATGAGAGTGACTGGCCAGGGGCTAACAGCCAGTGGAAGCTGGAAGGGATCTGCAGGCGGCCTAGTGTAAATCTCAAACATAGCGATAATTATTTGTACTTTTCACAACCTTCCGAATTTGCGGTTGCTCGATCTAAAAGTTGTGCTACGACTAGTTTTAAATTTAATTTGTTTGTTCTTCAAATTCCACTCTGCTGCTAAATAGAATTTGGAAATTCAGTGCACATTGTACACTCGCTTAGAATCCTATTAAATAATTTCTCATTAGTGAATGCCGGGTGAGGCAGTCGTTAACATCCCATGTTGTTTGGCTGTAGTTCTATGATTTTGTTTACATACCTAATTCCACTGTTATCATATCCTACATTTTTTGTGAATGTAACATTTTTTTGCTAATGTGTTGCCTGTATGTTGGCAATTGCCCCGAGTAAATCGTGTTTTTTTCGATGATTTCTCGAATTTCGTATTTATGTTATGAAATATATAAAAGTATCATTACCACATACAGCTGATATAGCAATCAAGGCAAGCGGTAGTTTTAATTTTAAATTTTAATAATCCCACAGTTTTTAGCATTTAAAGATGGCAAAAAAAAAAAGTTAGAACAGTGGAATCAGGCTCCAACATTATACTTCACTTTACTTTCGGCACCCTGTATTCAACCCCAAGCCTATGTAATTTATTCATATATGAAACAATTTCTGACTATCGTGAAATATCAGCCAATATATGTATTCAACTAGGGCTCAACAACCCAACTGAGCGAAGTTACAATGAGAGTTTATTTGCAGTTTAAGCTCACGTTGAGCTAAATAACAAGAGATATTTAGAATATTTTGACATAAAAATATGTGATATATTTTGCTTTTGCGCTTTGCTACTGTTCGATCGGAGAGTTGTATTATCACAAACCGTTTGTTTCTCTTCTATCGATTAGACTAACATATTCCAATTTTCAAGACTTATACGAATATAATTTGGTTGAGTGCCTAACCCTGCATCCAAGAAGGAAAGATATATAGGTAGTAAGAAAGATATTATATATATTTATTCACCTTTAGTCATGGGCCACCTTTTTCTGCTTCTTCTTATTCTTCTTGGGAAGTATGTAGGCGTGTGTGTAAAAGTTGGTAAACATCAAAAACATAGCAACTGACATAAAGAGTACCATATAGGTAAGCACTCGAGAGATCTCACATCTCGGCTGCATTAAAGTCCAAATGTTGTGCGCAAATATAATCACGAACTGAAGCATCTGCAATAAGGTTATATACTCCTTCCACCAGATTCTCCGCTTTGCTGGCGGTATCTGCGATGAGATGTAGTAGTAGCTGTACATCACAACGTGCACGAAGAGATTCAGGACACCCATGACTATGAGATGGCCACCATAGCCGTTGAACCGGATCACATAGTAACCCGTAATGGGCATGTACAGGTGATGCAGCAGATGCAGACCCGAGATCTGTTTGTAGCTCTTTCGCAACACTATAAAAATGGTGTCCAGCAAATCGAAGTACTTGTTGATGTAGTACGCATAGGACAGCAGACGATCTATGTTCTTCAATGGATGGTCCTGTGGCATCATCGTTATGCAGCTTAGGTTGTGAGGCCTAAACGCAATCAGATAACAAATGGCCTGCAATCCCTTAAGTTAGAGATCTGATCTTTAGATATACAAAACACTCACCGCAAAGAATACCAATCCATTGTATAAGATCTGCATCAGATTATATATCTTGAGTACGACTCGAAGATCGTAGGGCGTCCGCTTGGCCATGAACTGGCGCCCCAGCTTCAGCACAAAGAACAGATAAAAAGATACTATGAGGACCATGGGCCAGGGACTGCAAGCGAGAAAGAAACGCGTGGGATCCGCAGGTGGTCTGTCAAATATGTCAAACATAACGGTAGCTAAGCTTAGCCAATATTAATGAGCATAATCCGATTTCCGTTTTTATTATATTTAAACGCAAATGTAAACGTGTGTGCAATATCAGTGAAAAATACTCCAGAAACATTCTATATATTAAGTCTGACAACAAGGGATAAGAATTAAAATCTCGTTTTTATCGTGTTGTATAATGTTTTATAAATACAAAACTATGTTTTAAGTTTTGAAGTTGAAGCCTACATTGTTTTTTTGGCTACCCGGTAACAATTTTTATTGATATTTTGATACAAGAGATTTCTTTATTTAAGGTTTAATGGATGAAAGACGGTTCTGTCTTTCCCTTTCGCTAACAAGTAACTTTATGACTTTATGTTTTTACCTAACCCCGCACCAATAAATCGTATATCAACTAAGTTATTTAAGCTTCTCCTCTGTCAGCTTCTTCCTTTTTGGCAGTATGTAGGCGTGCGCATAGAAGTTGGCAAACATGACGAACATTAAACTTGAAGCAGATAGCACTAGATAGATCACTGGACGATCCGCATTGCAATTGGGCTGCATTAGGGTCCAAATGCTGTGGAGAAACATGAGTACGAACTGAACCATCTGCATGATAGTGATGTACTGCTTCCACCAGAGATTTTGCCGGAGAGCCGGGTCTTCGGCCGAGAGGTAGTAGTAGGTGTACATCACGATATGTACGATGACATTCAACAGTCCGACTACAATGACGTGCCCTCCATAACCGAAGAATCGTATCAGTATATAGCCAGCCGTTGGCATATAGACATGATGGATCAGATGCAGCATCGTTATCTGTTTGTAGCTCTTGCGTACCACAAAGAAGATGGTGTCCATCAGATCGAGTATCTTGTTCAAATAGTAGGCATAGACGAGCACTCGTTCCATGTTCTTCTTCTCGTGCTCCGGCGGCAGCGCCGTGAGGCAGTTGAAGTCGTGGGCCTGAGACACGAGAATAAATTCCATGCTCTGTGGAAGAGGCGCATCATAAATTAATTGCCAAGATTGGCCCCAATATAATTCCGACTGCACTTACAATCAAGAATAACACGCTGTTGTACAGGATTTGGATTACATTATAGACCTTCAGGGCGGCACGCAGCTGGTAGGGCTTACGGTTCGCCATAAGCCATGGGCCCAGCCTTAGCACGAAGAGCAAATAGGCAAACATTATGGTCAGAATGGGCGCTGGTCCGTTGGCCAAAGGCAGCCGAACGGGATCCGCGTGGGGTCTGTCGAATATTTCCAGCATCTGTCTATCTACCGCGCTTTATAAACCAACCAGCTAGTCCGTTGTCCAAGTTGCGTCTGCGACAACTGCTACGAACTTTACTTGTCACTTGACTCGAAATTGTAGTCTCCAAGACTATGCAGTTATCATAAACTAATAACTGATTAGGCGTGTCGTTTCGACTAACTAGAGTCTCAAAGTCTTTGAACTAAGACAACCTTAGGCGTGACTATACTGAACCCTGTTGGAACTGCTTAGTTAACAGCTTTGAAGATTTAATTAGTATTAACAAATGCCACACATGGTCACAAAATAGAAGAAACATCCGACTAAAAAACGATTGCAGAAAAAACGATTTCAGGCTTATAGTCGAAATGAACACCAGTTCTGCAAGCACAGTAAATTGTCATTGGTTCGATTCATGGTTCGAACCAGCATCCTGCCTTAGGGTGCTGCTCGTAAACCTGGTTTTCTACATCGTCCTATACCTTATCGGAAGGGTGACTTAGTCATCATGGGCCTAGATTCAAAGGGTAACTTCGTAAGATGCTTTAGAAAACCTTTTATGTGGTAACTGCGGCAAACGGCAAATACTGCCAACAGTTTTCCAACCATTTTTGCTGAATAGCTAATTAGCTAGGCGCATAATGAAAAGTGTCGAATCATGATTTTTGCATAATTTTCAGAAAGCTTTTTCATGGCTTCGCTTCCCGCTGCCGCAATGAGAAGCCTTTCCAACCCCCAAAAACTTGAATGAAAGTGCTTCGCTTTTGATAAGAGTCAGCCCCCCCCACCCCCTCCCCCACCGTCGTCCTTGGTAAAAAGCCAGAGATAAATCCTTTGTGCAACGCCTCACACTGACTGTGTCCATCAGAGCGACATGGTATTATTATTATTAATAGGCATCTGGATTGGAATACGTTGTTGAATTTGGATTCGGTTGCGGACAAGCTATTGAATTTTCCGAAAATTAATTTATGACACGCCGCACATTTTCCATTTGCCCACGCTGGCAACGTGCTATGATTATTATCAGTTTTTCCCTGTCCCGCTCCCAGTCCCTTTTCATATTGTGTGTACGTATTATTTTTAATCCATTAAACAAATGCCATGTTTCGGGCCCGCCTGGTGGGTACGTGTACGTGTGTGTGTGTGTCCGTTATCAGTAAATGGGCAAAAGGGCCTTTGATTTGGCTGCCAGCACACAATGTGCCCGGCTCTCAGAACCAGAGCCCTGTTTCTGTGTTCGGGGTAGTAAGTAACGCCTCCAGTATGTGTGTGTGTGTGTCTGCACACAGAGAAAAGATGTGGGATTTTTATTAATACTTTAAGTAAAAATACTCGAGCGGAGAAAGATTTTTTAAAATTAGCAAAAATGTGGTTTAAAAGACCTTTAAATTATTTAAGTGAAGGAAGAAATTTATTTTTATTGGGAACTAAATTCTTTTTTAAATATCTTTTTTTAATATTTATTAATCAAGTACGGGTAGACATTATTTTGTGCATTTCATTATTTAGAAGCACGTTTTTCTCTGAGTGTATGTGTCTGTCATGCAATCAGACAAGTTTGCCCTGTTCGAATGCCTCAGGCGAGACATTTGTGTTCACGCTGAGTTATCATGCATAAAGAAATTTATCTAAGGCCAAAAGCAAAAGAAACCAATTTTATGGGATCGAGTGTAATCATTAATATCTCAACAGATATACTAGAATGGACATCTGAGTCGTGCCGATCAATTCTCAGATTTTCTATTCGATTTGCTTCAATTGTATGTGGGATGGGATGCTACAGATGCATTCGAGGTGTCGCATAATTCGCCTTGGCCTGGAGATGATTATGGCAATGTCGATGATGATGATGATGAGCATTCTGTGATTTGGTCATCAAAGTCAGTTGGCCATTGGTCCTTAAAGCTCACTCGCCGCCATTCACATGGCTCACTTGTCTCAATGAGCAAAGAGCTCTTAAAATAAGTACAAACACAGCACACAATCCCTTTGAAGCCTGCTCTCTGTTGGCCTAAAACAAAAGCGCCAAAGCAAAAACAAAAAACTGACTGACTAGCGGATGTCCTCTAACTTGCACCTGTTCTAGGCTAGAGCAGAGTAGAGACTCGACTTAAGTTGGTTTTCTTTTTATCCGATCATCCGACATATACTTGCGTTTCAGCTACCCGGTTTATGCACTCTCATGTGTAGAGGGTATAGAAAGCGAACAAAGCAATTTACTGGAATTACAAGAGCGTCTCTAATTGTTAAGTAAGCATAATATGTGCAACATATGGCCAGGAGAGCTGCTTGGACGGACGTTGACTCCGATGCTCACGCTGAATCCCTTGCTGGCTATAATGCCACCATAGCGAGGCAGGAGGGTGGGGGAGGGGACTCTGCATGGGAAATTGCAGCGTATATGACAGCGACAACGAGGGGCGGTAATCGCAAATAAATTGGCAAAACGTTGGAACTGAAAGAGAATAAAGCAAATCAAGAGAAGCAGCAAAAATGTTGTCAGCCATAAAAAGTGCTTACAAAAATATATTATTGTTCATGTGGCGAGTCAACAAACTGTGCGCCGACATGGGAGCTGGGAAACGACGGGCAGCTCAATTCACCAGGGTGAGCAGAGCTGACTGTGGGGGGGGATTAGGGACAAAGTTAAATGTGCCTGCCATATGACAAAGCATTTTATTTTGCAATGCATTCAGATCTGTTACGAATTTCAATTACTTTCTCAGAGAAACTAAAAAATAAAGTTTGAACCTCGTTTATGTATATACTGGTTCAATTTATTAGTTTATTATAGTCTGCAACATTTTAAAAGAGATTAAAATATTTCCATTCGATTTTTACAAGCTGTAACTTTTTTGATTTTTGTTTTTTTTTTTTTAGATGAGCTGAGCGCGCAAATGTCACGATGAGCAACAATGAGGACAACAATTACCCCAACTCAGCTGCAGACACAGCCCAAAGACTGAGCTCCATTGTCGTGGATCCCACCTCGAATACCAGCCCAGAAAAGCAGCAGAATAAGCCACAACAACACAAACCCAACTATTACTATCATCGTTACGTAGGCCGTCCACATTGGCGATTTGCCGTGCCCATTAGCCCGTATGGCTGGTATCGCGTTCTGGTGTTTAGCCAGAACAGCGGCTACACCGTGAAGCAGGTGCTGGATAAGCTGCGTCTGGCCGTGGCGCCACGGAAGTTCAGGTATTACTATCTGCATGAGGGCGGTGAGCAGGATGTGGAGCAGGATAAACGGGCCACGTTCACCTTCTATGTGGATAGCTACAAACTGGCCGCCGAGCTGCAGCTGCGCGGACATCGTCCGCCGGTCGTGGGTCTGCGCGTTAACGACAGACCGCCCATGATCGAGGTGGACGAACCGTACAGATGGAAGCTGCGCAAGGTGATAATGTCGCGGTACGATGAGCGGAAGCGCTGCCTCAATCTGTGCCGCTTCTATGCGGACGATTACTGGAAGGGCGAGTTCTGTGCGCTGCAGCAGTTCGAGTGCCTGGAGGCAATCATTGACATTATGGAGCAGGAGCTGCCGCAGCTGCGTCGCCTGCTGCTGGACAACAACCACCTGTGCCACCTGGGCGGCTTTCGTGGCGTTGAACAGCGATTGCCGCGGCTGCACTGCATCTCGCTGCAGCACAACGAGCTGAAGACGCTTCGACCGCTGCGCGTCTTTCAGCGCCTGCGTCTCACCGAGCTCAATGTCAAGCGGAATCCGCTGCCGCGCAACTACGAGCAGCAGCTGGTGACCATGTTTCCGGATCTGCGCACCCTCAACGGCCGTTCCGTGGCCAGACGCAGCACTCCCGTAGTCACGGTCAGTGACAGTGACAGCGACAGCAACAGCATTAGCAGCAACAGCGACAGCGATGTGGAGCTTGTCTCTGTCACCGAGTGCAAGCCGATTATCATGCCGGAGCCGAGGGTCACGTACCTGGCGCCACATGCGCTGCCCATGCAGCTGGGCATCAGGAAGTTCGTACGTCGCTATCTGAAGGCGTTCGACGGCGATAAAAGGACCACGGATCTGCAGCGCTTCTATCAGGAGCACGTTCTAGTTTCCCTCACACTTGCCAAGGATCGCGCCATGCTGGGTTCATGGTAAGTGCAGACACTTTATCCAAATCCAAATTCAATTCCATGATTAAAACTCTTTCCTTTTCACAGGACTGCGCCCTATGCTGCCTATAGTCGCCAGCTGCTGGCGTGCCGGGTCGCGGCGCTGGAGATGTTCGCCTCGTGGCCCAAAACGTTGCATTTGCCGTTAACGATGACCCTGGATCTGACGCTGGTCGAGCCCCGGATGCTGTGCGTTTCCATAACTGGCAGCCTCGAGGAGAACGGCTCGCCCAACGTGCTGCGGCATTATATGCGCACCTTTCTGCTGACCAGGACCGATGAAACTGACGACTTTCGCATAGCCAATGAGCTCATCTATCTCAGCAGAGCTGGCCGTGGCCAGCGCCAGCCGGCGCCGCTCAATCCTGTCCAACGTAACTTGATGTGCATGCTGTCGGCGGAGACGCGGCTGAAGTCGCGCTGGAGCAGCAAATTCCTCAAGGACACCAATTGGGACTATCAGCAGGCCTTGCTGGCATTCCAAACACTCCTCCGACGACGCCAGATACCCGAGAAGGCATTCGAGGGTGATACCAAGCCAGAGCCGAGTCCATGACATCAGCTGCGCACTATATTCCCAATGTGCCCGCAGGGAAATTGAAAATTCCACAGATTATGCTGATTACATTTTATTTGAATTTGAATTTGATGTGCGAGGGTATAACGTGTCCAACGACTATGAGAATCAGGCCGCACCTTCAGCTCCTTCAATTACGATTTATGATTTGTTTGCTCAGTTTTGACAATATCATCTGGAATAATACCGTAGCCATACTTGTAAAATAACTGGTAAGATCGTGAACAATTGTTAGTAATAAATATGTCCTATATATATATATATATATATATATGTAGATATCTGTATATATATTTACGAATTGTAATTTATTTACATCGAAATTTATTGCTATGCTCTTGCACAGGGTATTATAATTTTGTCACATTTGACCTCTTAGACTGGATAATGTAGAGTCGAGTCTATGTAGCCATGTCCGTCGTCTGTCAGCCTGTTAATATGCATGTTTAACAATGTCAAACCGACGGAAACAGGATGATATATTCTATTCTACCAAGATATTGTATTTTTTAAAAAGTTTGACAAAAACGGACTAAATAACCTGCAACTAGAAAAACTCCAAGATTTTCATGAATAAATTATATAGTTCTTAATGAATGTTCAGTTGAAAATAAAATTTTGTAATGAAAATGTTAGAAAAAACTAGATCGTCTCTGCTATTGATGCCGATCAAGAATATATATACTTTATGGGGTCGCAGATGCTTCCTTCTGTTTTTACATAAAATCTTACAAATACCCTTCTACCCCTTTTCAATGGGTTCAAGGTATAAAAATAGGAAGACAATTTAACTCGGTTAACTATATCATATAGTTCTAATATGATCTTTCAGTTGAAAAACCTATGTTTCTTTAATGAAAATGCCAGGAATACAAATAGAAAGAGTTTTTCATACATAAGTATAAATTAAAGTGGTATAAAGTGCACATGACACTGGATAAACTTATGGATCAATTTAACTTATCTTCTTTGAGCGGAGAAATATTGATGTAGGCTATAAAAAATGAAATAATTCTTTTAGTTAATGCATTCATTTTTTAGTCGTCGCTTTTAAATTTGTTTAAATAGACATGTTGGTAAGCGTATTCAAACTACGCTATGCCTTTTATTTTATTTTTTTCCTGCTTGTTTATCTTTTTCCCCCTTCTGCCTCTGGCAACCCAGCGCCCCGGCAGAAGTCAAAAACTCGAACCCTCGAAATTGGGCTTTTAACTTGTCGTTAGGGTGAATTTATAAGCTGCTCTTTGCTGTTGGTCGGGCGGGTGGTTGGACGGTCGGACGGACGGTCGCTTGGCCGGGCGTCGGGCATTCGTTCCAGCTTTGGCTGACGGTTGAATCCCCCCTCGTTACCCTGGTTGCTGTCCACCGTTCAGCCTCAGCCTCAGCCTGGCCACGCTTTATTATCTGCCCCCTTTTTATACCCTGAACCCATTAAAAATGGGTATAAGGGTATATTGTATTTGAGCAAAATCCAAATGTATGTAACAGGCAGAAGGAAGCATCTCTGATCCCATAAAGTATATATATTCTCGATCAGCACCAATAGCCGAGTCGATCTAGCCATGTCCGTCTGTCTGTCCGTCCGTCCGTCCGTCCGTCCGTCCGTATGTATGAACGCAAGGATTTCAGAGCTTATAAGAGCTAGAGGCTTGAAATTTTAGATGTAGATGCTCCTAGTTCCCGCGCAGATCAAGTTTGTTTCCGATAATCGATAACTTACTCCGTTTCCAAGCAATCGATTAAAATCGATATCGATATCCTGTTTTTTTTTGTGCAATTTTGGTAAATAATAAGAGCTAGAGTCACCAAGCTTGACATAGCTTCTAAAATAGAATATATATATGCATTTGATGTTGGAAGAAGAGGGCTCAGGGTATCCCCTAGTCGGCAGCTCTCGACTAGAATCTCTTACTTGTTTTTGTTATATTTTGTTTGTTGTCGCTCCCCCTTCCCTTGCCCCCTTCACAGACTTCGCGACGTCGACTGCATTTCATTGAGCGTAATTCCGTTGCTAATGATTTTTGGCACACGTAGCGCTACTTTCGAAATTAATGCGCTATAAAACAACAACAACAAAAAGAACGGGCTGCAGCGACACTGAGAAATGGGCGCACGGTGGATAGGAAATTGCCTTGCCAGGCGTTGGTTGAGGCTGCACTGGGTGGTGCTTGGGTTGGCTGTTGGCTGGGAGTTGCGCAAATTTAATGAAACTTTCAGTTGGAATTGTTTTTCACAGCTGGACTATGTGCGGGCAGTCAGGCGGGAGTCATGTTGTCGGTAGAGAGACCAGGAAGTGCGCCACGTTTTTACTGATAAGAAACTTTGCCTCATGTGCTCGGTTGTGCATGCGTGTGTTTGCGGTTTCGCTTTTCCTCAGCCCTGCATAAATTTCCATATTAATTCGAACAGCCTATGGCTGATTATCAGCCTCGTCATCATCATCGCCATCATCGTCGTCATCGTCATCGTTTGCGGTTTCATGTCGCACTTTTTTCGCTCGAATGTTTCAGGAATAATCTAAATCGGCATTATTTATGCATTCAGCTCGCATTCGGCACGCAGACGCCGCATGTCAAGCACTCAAATCCCTGAAATCCCCGCAGTTCGAAAAACTTTCAATACGGTTTCGCATTTTAATGCATCCAAATCCATATTAATTTTGATATATGCTTCTTTGAAGCGCATATGGTATGTAAAATAAAACGGGTCAATTTGATGCCTAACTTTCGTTTCAAATTCTCGTTTCATTTCAGCTTGATTGCAAATATGCAGATGTGAGCTTTAAATTTGTTCCCCATCATACTTTCCCAGCTGCAGACAACTAAATATTTCTACTTTTGGGCTAACTATTCATTAAGGCACAATAACTAAAACCCTGTCAGAGGCCATTTGAGGTTTCTCATGAAAGACGGCGACACATCCTAAACCATAAATGTTTTTATTTTCCACATATCTTAACCAAAATCAGTAGTTATGTTCAGTTATCGGACTACCATATCATATAGCTCAGGTCCAAGGCAGGCTTTTAGTACTCATATATATATATTTATCGTTTTCTTAAACCTTACTGCAAGGGTATTAAATGTTATTGCTTGTGTGTTTTATAGCCTTTGTCAGCATATATTAGATAGTAAAATACTTGACACCACCATCAGCCATCAGCATAAGCCACATGCAACGCGCAGTGGCATTTCGTCTCCCACGAGCCCTATAAAAAAATAAACCACAAAGGCAGACACATTTCTCGAATATGATGTGTAGAAACAGAACAGAACAGAGCAGTTCTAATCGATAGTGCCCGACTAGAAGATACCTTTTAACCTTACCTTTACCTTACATACACAAAAACACAAGCAGCCCCAAACTGTGGAGAGTACTTTCTTGCTTAACTCTGGATAAAAAAAAAAACGATATACTTTGGATATGTGTAAAGTATCTCGAGATCTTAAAGTCTCTGAGTACGAACTTAACTCCGTGCTTCTTTCTGCTGTGAATATGCCCATTTTAAACATTTTTAAAGGGTATAATAAAATGACCCATGTCAACTGGCTCGAACAAAACAATCTAAAAGGGTAAAAATTTTGTCTGCCTCATTCAATATATCGTATAATACAACTACTTCAACTAAAAAAAAACTTATCACAGCTCATTTATCAGCAACAATTAATGACTGCCTAATATACAGGGTATAGGATACATAATATATGTATGTGTATATATTTAAATATATGTTGCTTTTGACATGTCATTAAGCGTCGAGTTGAGTTAGATTGGGGCAAGTGTGGATTAAACTTGGGAAAATCAACTTTTAAACAGAATTGTAATATAAATAGATATTTATTTAGGACTTAAAATGAGTTTGTTCTTGTTGTTGCTGTCTTTTCACATTTCCAAAAAGTGTATGTCCACGGCATGATGATCAACATCGACATGTGGATGCAGCTGCAGGAATTTCACATAGGCCAAGAATGTTGTCCAGCACATGCTGAAAAACGACGTGAATATCACCTGATTTCGGGCCGGGACAAAGGCAAAGTTCACAGTCTGCACGCAGGGCCAATAAATAACGCCGACCTTATAGGCATCCAGAAATTTATCGCTAACCTGCCAAAGGAGAGGTAGAGAGAGAGAAAGAGAGATCGGTTAACATTAAGATAGTGCGTTTGTGGGCGTGGCATGCGCCCTCGCACGTTTTTTTAAATGCCAGCGCGGAAAATTGTAATTAAGTGCCATCGAGGCTGAAATCTTGGGGAAAAAATATTTACGAACGGGTGTGGGTGTGAAAATGCTGCTGGGTATTTGTGGGTGTGTGTGTGTGTGTTTGTGTGTATCATGCACTGGGCGTGGCATTTTGTTAATGTTGTTAATTAAAAAGCCTTTTGGCATCGCACATTTTCACTTTTGGCCACATTCGTTGGAAAATTAAGGAAATTATATTTATGCTGGGTCGAAACGTCAACAAAAAAATTGTGGCCCAAATGGCAATTGGCGCTGGACTACTAATTAAGCACAAAGTGGACACTTTTTATGTGCTGCAATATGTACTTTAAGTACGGCTCTGCCAATACTTTAAATGATGCTGCGTATGCAATTACTTTTTTTATGGCCCACACAAATGCTGGCAATTATGAAAAGTCACCGTGTGTGCTCTCTAATTAATTTTTCTTTTAAATTTCATTTCATCTCTATATGAATAGAGTGCTAAATGTTGAATAGAAATAATAATAGAGTTGTTTATGGCGCAGCCTGGCAAACAGCTTCATCAGCTGCTCAGACAAAGTTTGCCAATCAGCCAGCCAGCCAGCCAGTCGGCCGGTTCGAACTCGGGTCTGCGACTCAGACTTAATGTTCCGACTACGGCACGGAGCGGAGTCATAGATCTTGGCAACGCATGCGAGCCAAATGTGACAACGCTCGGTTGACATAAATATATGGTAAAACATTTACATTTACCAAGATAAATGGTTTCTAATGATATAGAAGTAACTTGGAGTTCGACTACGAACACGGGCTGAGCAGTTGGAGCCGGCAAGCCAACAAATCAATGCTGACAACTCGGTACAGAGCCAGAGACACAGACAGAGCCAGAGACAAAGACAGTGAGACAGACAGCTGATATTTATGCACGCTTACAGATGCTGGGCGGCAGATACAGATACAGATACATAGACGGAGGCCCAGATACTGGGCCAGTCGAGTGTAACTGTCGTGAGAAAATGTATTTCCGAAATACCCACACACACAAAGCCCAAAAACCTAATTTCAAACTAAACAAGAAGAATAATTATTCGATGAATATTGCAGAATATTGAATACCTTATATATATATATATATATATATTATTTATTTATAAGGTATTCAATATACATATATTTATATATATATACATTTATATATAAATATATATTTATACATACATATACATTTATTTCTTAATGAGATATCTGAGCATGAGCCGCAATGCAATGGGATTTATGATAACGATAGCGATTACGACAACGATAACGTCAACAAATTGAGCACTGACCAAGAAACACATTTTCATATGCAATAACAATAATAATAACAATAACCATAACGATGAGAGACAGGGACAAAAAAAGAGAGGGGGCGGCGGCAGACAGAATCAGATGTTATCAACTGGAATGACTTAATGTTCGCCGTCACTTGGTCGTAAAAAAAAAAAAAAAAGAAGAAACACGAGCAACAATAACTGAGATCGATGGATCGATGAACGTACCTCCTGTTTGGCCTGGGCAAACGATTGGCCCTCCATCAGGGTCATGGAGAAGAGAAAGGAACTGATGGCCATGGGATCGTATGCGGTTTGCTCGGTGATCGCCTTGCAGAGCGATGACTTAATATCTGTGCGGGGCCACATGACACCGGCCAGTCTTATCCAAAAATATATTGTCGGTCCCATAAAGAAGAAGCCAAATAAACTGAATCTGCGAAAAAAAAGGACAAAAAGCGATGCCAATTATCTCTGGACACTCTCCTTGTTGGGGGCCCACCTCAGACATTTCATCCAGTCGTAAGTGCGGAATGTCCGTTTTTCGATCAGCGTCTGCTCGACTAGGCAGCCAATCGGCCACAGGGTCCCATATGATATCATGCCTCGTATGATTTTATATTTGTTTGTCAAATTTACAAAATTACGAAACATTTTCGCGCCTTTCTGGGCTCACGCTCAGATCTTAAGTGCTTGAAAAACACAAAACAACAAAAAAGTGGCCTGAAAGAGAAATTTGCGAGACGGTCAATAAATCGATGGATTGCCTGAGCTACTGCTCATATAAATGACAAACAATTGTATTGTACTTAAATCAAGGCATTGCTTATATACTTTCATATATTATAGTCCTCAATCGATGAATAAGTGTGCTTCCATTAAGCATAGTTTAGGCTTATTGCAAGTAAACGAATTTGTTTGCAATTTATCTCCGTTTATTCTCATTTCCTTGCTGAACTTTTAATGCTTGTGGATTGATTTATACTTAGGATTATTCAAAACCAGAAACTACTTTATACAAAAAATCTAATTGATTTACAAGGCATTGTTTATATACCTAATTATGTCATAGTACTCAATCTGAGAATTTTTGTGCTTCCATTGATTAGAGTTTTGGCTTATTTCAAGTATTAATTTTTTGGTAGTTCATCTCCGCTGACTCTCATTTGCTTGCTTAACTTTTAATGAAAGTGGTTTGATTTACGCTTAAAATTATCCAAAACCACAAACTACAGTACATTTTAATAAAAAACTATAAATTCCAACCCGGTTTTCCCTGATTATGGCCAGCTCTCTGTCTCTTTGAAGTCTGTGCTGTTATTTATTATAGAGCTCTGTTTGTCAAATCGGATTACGTTTTAATCTTTTCCCCTGTTTTTTATTTTTTATTTTTATAATTACTTTTTGTAACATTCCCGTCTGTTATTAGCACGACTCTTGCCATTTGCTGCAGTTGAGCACAAACTCTCTTTGACATTGGCCACCTGTCGCACTTTGAACACTTCCCCTCCCAGCTTTTTTGTGTACATAGTTAACTGCACCTTCAACACTGCCTGCTCATTTAAAATTTAAATGCAAATATAATGCAAATTAATGTTAAGAAAACATTTTGTTATGGCCTGAGCCACGGCGAAGCCTGATCAACAAAGGCAAATGAGAACGAGAACGCGGCCTGTTTGGACAGTTGCTCAGCAGTTACAGTATCAGGCACACACACACCATCCTTGTTCTGTGTGTACACACACACACTCGCACACAGTGCTTGCGTCACGTCCTAGACCAGAACAAGGATGGCAACCTGAACGGGACAGCAGCGACAACGTGTACATGTTAATTACTTGTGAAAATATGCAACAGACGGCTAACAACAACAAGAACAGGAGGCAGCCCGCAATTTGCCATGAAGTATACTTTTTCACACCAACTAAAATTGCACCAGCTCGTTTTGAGTAGAGGAGCACGAGAGACCCGAGCCCGAACCCGCTTGCCGGCCTGTCCTATTGTTGTGAGTGCCCTTCAAAGTGTACCTGCCTGGCGGTCGGGCTGGCGTGTGTGCGGGCATACTAATTACAACAACGAAAACAACAACAGGAGCCACCCCGCCAGTGGATTTGGCTCTTTAATCGCTTCAACAACTGTTTCTTCAACTTCCTACCCACACCCAAAACCTAACCCAAACTTTGGTTCGAGGTCCATTTTAATTTCTTTGCCTCTGCGGCTCATTAAGCGTTCGGGCAGAGCCCAAAAGAAAATAAAAGAACTTTAAATCACACATCGTTCATTTGCTTTGCCGCTTTTCGTTCGCCTTTTATTGGATTTTGTATACCCTGTAACCTGCAAAATTCAGCGTATATTGTATTGTACTTTACCATATGTAGCATATGTGCTTAAGTGCTGTATATTCAGAGAAATATAGTGTTAAGGTGTAAGTACGAAATGCTTATTTTAAAATTTACATACTTTAAATAAGCATTTTTGAATTAGAGTTTAGAATTTTTGATTTAGACAATGGTTCATAAAATATTGATGATACTGGTTAAGCTTTCTTAAGTTAAGTACGAAATACTTATTTTAAAATTGACATAGTTGAGATAAGCATGGAAATTCGGAATTTGGAATTAAAAAAACTTAGATTACAAAATTTGAGTTTCCCTTTACTTTGATCTCCGAGTCTAAAATTGATGTGGACTACAGGGTATTTATTCGTCATTCACTAAGTACTGAAGCACTGTTGTTTGTGTTTTATTGCATTGTACTTTTGATTTCGGGGTTTCGGGGACCGACTGACTGCCGTTCGTAAGTATCTTTCGCTCAAGCCTAATTGCTTTTTATGACAGTCGAGTGAATATGATGAATCTTTTCGTGTTCCCTGTTCTGCTCTGTGCTGTTGTCTGTTGGCTGTTGTGTTGTTCCGACTAGAAACATTATTTCGACATTTGTTGGGATAGAAACATTCTTTGCAATTAAATTTTGTGTCTTTCGTATATTTCGGCATTCCAGTAGCGAGCACCGCACGACGCGTTGCCATAATACTTCGACATCTGTTACACGTTGGAAAAACGACCCGCCCCTGGCACGCCCTGCGCTCATTAAGCTGCGTCTCTCGTCTATCTCTCTGTCTGTCGGTCCGTCCCCTACCCTGTAAGACAGTCAAGTGTGTCAGCTGTCCGAGTGCCTCGATGTGTGACTTTTATTTGCAAGTGGCTGCGGATTTTATTAGAGCACTTCGAGTGGCTCAGGGACCCACATGAAAGGGCTACAAGGGCCGCGCAAGTGCCTCGTCTGAGCTACCCCTTCAGCCACAATTGCGGCTTATCGTAGTGCGGCAATTGAACTTGACACTTGATACGATTCTTTCGGTTGCCTTAGTTTGCGGGCAAGTTACAAGTTTATATTATTTCTAGGTAAATTGTGGTATGCTAAACATAAGCTTGTGAAGTTCTTCAAGCAAGTTCTCACGGGGCTCTGATATTAGATTAGCAGCGCTCTTTATTCGAGTAAAACTGCGATTCGATTCGTTATTTTAAGTTCAATTAATTCTTAAATAATATATGAATCATACTAGACGTTAAAATAAAACATTATTGATCAAAGAAAAGTAAGCAAGTTACCACTAAATTAGGATTATAAATGTAATTATTTGTACTTGAACTTGTTTTAACTTGTAGTTTATTTTTGGTTGGAAAAGTTAATATTACAGTCTATCATATAATATAGGATTTTATTGGATACAAATTTTTGAAGTATCTCCGCGTTTTCCGCCATTTGCCATAAACTATATACAAATATTAAGCCTTATATGCATGTATATAACTCCAATTTCGGTGTGGGCAACTTATTTGGCTGTCTGCTTTTACATTTTGCCTGGCGATAAATTTTACAATGCGCCCCTCAGCGACTGTGCAACAAAATCATTTTCACGCTCGCCTCCAACAAAAACTATATCAACTGCAGCAACTGCAACTGCAACTGCAACTCTGCAACTACAACTGCAGCAGGCGTGGACGAGGCATTGCGCATAAATTAAAAGTAAAATGTTTATTTACGCTGTGTCCAGAAGGATGTATCAATGCCAACTCGAGGAGGGAAAGGGGGGTCGGGCCTTGCAACAACTGAACCGCCTTTCAGTTTCCTGTACAACATTTGCATTTTGACGCCGTTTTACGCATGATGTGGATAAGAGATGCCCGAACCCTTCTCCCTTCCCTCTCTCACTCTCGGGCATGTCTGCGTTGCCGCTTATCAGCCAAATGAAATCAAAGAGCGTGAGAGAGTGATGATGGGGGGGGGGGGGGGGGGGGGGGGGGGGGGGGGGGGGGGGGGGGGGTAAAGATAAAGGGGCGTCGTTGAAGTCAGAGCCTGCAGCATCTTGCAACATTTTGTTTTAATTTCGCACTCTTGAAAAGTGGCAGCCGCCACTCGAACTGGCTTTTGATGTTGCCCAGACGCTGGCAGCGACGCGACGTCGCGACGTCAGCGTCAAAACTGTGGCAGCTGTTGTTTGGCTTCAGCAGAAGCAACCATCCAAAGCTCCATGGTCCATATCCAGATACTAAGTGCCGCAATACCCTGCAAATACCCTATTTCCCATTGTGTTCTACTCGTTTCAATTAAAATTCACTTTTAATCTTTGGGGAGGTATTGAAGAGGATTGCAGCCGCTACACTCAGAGAAAAAGCCAAGAATTTTGTTTTCAAGCGAATAGTAGAATTATTCTTCATTTAAACCTTTTATCCGGTTGTATTCAAGGGGTTTTTAGGCAACAGTCGGACTTTAGGGAATATAATTTAATTATTTCGATATGCTAATGGCAGTGTATTAACGTTTCGGTTTTTCCTCGTTGTCGTTTTCTCTCCTTTCATGTTTTATTATTTTATTACGTTGCGCCTTGGGGGCGCATCACTGGCTACCTTTGCCAGCCCCCACACCACCTGCCGCTTCCGCCCGCCCCGCTCCCGCCCTTCATTGCTTCGCTATGGCGCGTATTTCCTGTTGGTCGTCGCGCGGCACTCGCAACATTTCATTTAATTTAATTCTTTACAGTTTGCTTTGGTTTTTTTATGATTAAATTTACAGCCTATTTTGCTGCGGCGGCGGCAACGGCAACAACAAAATACGAAACGTTTATTTTATTAAATATGCTTATTGACTTTTTTCCGCTTTCAACATTTTGTTTCTCTCAATTTTTCAATTGATTTTCAATTTAATTTCGTCGTCGCCGAACTTCACAGAACATTTTAGTTGGCGTTGTTGTCGCAAGTGCCACATCAAAGGCCCAAAAAGACGACGCTAATTGCAGCCCGCGAGCATCGCTGCCTACTACAGATATATAAGTATCTGTAGCTGTATCTGTACCTGTAAATGTATCTGTATATGTATCTTGTGCGCGTATCTCAAGGTGTGAATTGTGATTGCATTCGCTGCGTCCGCTGTGAAGATTTCTTTGTACCTTTGCCATGCACAATATTTTTTTTTCCCTTTTGCTTTTTATTTGATTTCCAGTTGCCTTTTTCGGCTCTTGTTTATTGAACTTTGGTTGCACGATAGCAACAGCAGGGGGCTGCTTGCCAGAGAGGGAGGTTGGCGCAAGTGGGCGACGCGCTGGTTTTAAACATATTGAAACATGTGTATTTGTCGACTGATGGATGCGGGCTGTTTGTTCTTTGCACCGAACACCATGATTTGATTTATTTGTACACAACTTTATGATATTTACATGTCTG